TCTGGCCCCATTTTCCATAGGTCTACACCATAAATTCCTGCAGAGGTGCTTACATTTCATAGGCTTTTGGTGATTTATAACACCATGGACCCAAGCCCATCCACACACTGCAGTAGAAGGCACTGGTAAATCACTGCTGCATTTTTTTTTCTTAATCTTTATCTTTCTTACCTTGAAAATCCTATAATGAGACAGCTCACGCCTTCATAGGATTACCAGGAGTCAGAGCCCACTTATCATTGCATGTAATAACACCACTAGACAACACGTGCTTCAGAAATGTTAATTAACTTAGAGTTCTCAACATGTCTTACTTTCTCACACCTTTATACCCTTGCACATGTTGGTCCCTCTGCCTAACACCTTTCTTCTTTCCTTCTAAAATTGAGTTAAACTCAGTCTGAAGAACAGAGTAGTCCCAGAGATGTGGAAGTAGTGTACAGACTGACAATCCCCAGAAGAGGGGGTGGGGGAGATAAACCACAGAATTTATATGCATGTGCGCATAACCAATGGACATGGACAGCAAAACTGGGGACAGGGCGGGGAGGGAGGGGGAGGAGGGTGTCAGGGGGGGGAACAAAAATAAATAAAAATTGAGTCAAACTACACTCGTACAACATACCTCTATTATAGCACATAACACAACATTTCATCATTGTTGGTTCCTTGTCTGTCCCCTACTAGATTATATATTCCTTAGGACAGAGGCTGTCATGTTCATCTCTGTTCTTCCACATAGTAGATGTATAGTAAATAGTACAATCAAAGCTTCTCTTGCCTCTTTGGAACATTGAGGATGCTAGACTTAGAGAAATGCTGTAGTGGCAGCTCTGCACTTCTCTATTCTGAGAGTTTTTACATGGTTTTAAAGTATAGAGTATTTATTTTTACAAAACAATTATTTTAAAATTATTAAAGGGATAAAAAGTAATAAATAAGGCACCCTAGCTATACATCATGCATTTTTATTGCCAGTCTCTTATGTGCCTTGTGTAAGTTTATTTCCTCTTAGGACTTCAATTACCCTTTTTGTAATTATTTCTACCTAAAATGTACAGTAGCCTTCTAATGGTCTTTTCCGTCTCTACTATTATACTGGCAACCATGTCCTTTGAATGAAATACTATTTCTTCCCCTACCCCTTTCATTTCTATGTTTAAGAATCCGGTTGCCTTCTTGAGGGTGGGAGGGAAACGCTTGGCTCTCAAGTTCTGTATGACCAGGTCCTGCCTTACTCCTTGACTTTTAAATCTCACTCTTAACTTGTTGTTTTATTTGAGTGAATCTCATGACAGTCTCACAAACACAGACTTTCTCTTTTGCTCTTTGTAATTTGCCCTACCTGGGATGGGGATGTATTTATTCAAAATTTTAAACCCTAATCTAAACCCAGCCTTCTTGATAAAGATCATTATTTCATCTCATGGTGAGGAAATTGAATGGCAAACAAAAATATCTTACAAGAGGAAGGTTTTAGGGAAAATATGCTTGAATAATTAACTTAATGGAAAATTTAGTGGGAATAATATTGTTTCATACTAAGGCATACTAAATAGATGGTATCATTATGTGTAGTGGAGCTTACTATATATATTACAAGTTTTAACCTGTAATAATTTAAGCATGATTATTCACTGTTATCTGTGAAATGAAACCAACCATCATATGAGCAATGGTTTCATTCCTCCATTATTTCTATTTTTACTTCATGAGTAAAATACATGTAAATGAGTTTACCATATTAGTTAAGTCATTATTACTATAATTTATTATTTTTCTGTAATAAACACTATCTTGAAATAATATTCAGGCTAACTAAACCTCCTCATTAGCTTAACTCTTCATTTTTTTCCAGTTGAATGTTTACCAGACATCGCTCAGTCTGTCTTCAGAACAGGATCCATACCCTCCCTTCCCAGAACCTGCTCTGAAGAACAGCAGACAGGGCATTGTGGCTGGAGGGGAGAATGGCAAGAGAGGTCAGAGAGGTCCTTAAAGGCTAGGATTACACAGGGACTTGTCAACCTGCTAGCAGTTTTGGATTTTAATCTATATTCAATATGGCTACATCATGGAGGATTAAGTAACCCTTTTCATTTATGCTAGGATACATTCTTTCAAGACATAGATGTAATGGAGCAGGGAATTCGAGTAAAACTTTAATATATCTCCTCAAAGTACTTAATCTAATAGTCACAGAATAATAGTATCTGTTCTGGTATAATTATAGTTTCCTTAGGCCTATTTCCACATCATTAAGGAAAAGCATCATATTAAAGCTATCATCTGTTTAAATCCAAATTATATTAAAAACAAAATTTATAGATTCTCTTTTCTTTTCCTTAATTGTTCTCCCCTTTGTTTAGAGGGACAGTTGACTATTGTATTATTTTATTTTCGTTTTATGCTGTCATCATTTTCAGTAAGGGCCTTATGTTGGTAAAATTCAATAGAATTTAGAAATGTCATTTAATTGGAGATAGGTATTGATTATGTAACAAAAAATGAATCTCCTTACTAGATTTGCTGACTTTAGAGAGTGTGGAGCCTATTAAAAAAAAACGTTTCTGGGGGCTCCTCTTTTGGTGTGTGTAATAAACAGAAATGATGCCGTAGTGGAGATAAGAGCAAAAGGATCAGCATTAGCTTTAAGAGAAAGGAGAGTGCTCTTTTAGAGTGTAGATCCTTAAATGTTGTAGAACCTAAATATTTATTGGAAAAGTCTCTGAATAAATGTATTGTTAACATTTTTATAAAACAACCCAAGTGTAATAGGAATTCAAGAAAGGATAAAATTGGCAAGTTACATAAATGGTAACAGTTAAATATTTGCTAAAATTTTCATTTATTTTATGACTGTGTCATTGCTTTCTATCCATATTTTACTCTACTTGAGTCTATAGCAGTCTAGCTAAAAACAAAATTATTAATGAAAATATTTAAAGAGATTTTTTAAATCCAAATAATTATTGGGTTTGTATAATAATAAACTCACAAAACACAGCAGACTTTGATGTGGAGTCTATAATTCTATTTGGCTTTGTGACCATTTAAAATGTTTATGTTCATTTAGAACCATTTTGTGTTTCTATCATGGGTAGATAAAACTTAGTGAAGAATGATATCAATTGAGATTGATCTGTGGATAATTAAGTAATGAATAAAAATCTTAGAAATAGTATTAACACACCCTGGCCGGTTTGGCTCAGCCATTAGAGCGTTGGCCCTCAGACCAAAGGGTTTCAGGTTTGATTCCCAGTCAAGGGCATGTATCTGGGTTGCAGGTTTGATCCCACACCCCAGTTGGGGTTGGTTGGGGTCATGTAGGAGGCAACCAATCAATGTGTGCCTCTCACATTGATGTTTCTCTCTCTCTCCCTTCCTTCTACTCTATCTAAATATCAATGGTAAAAGATCCCTGGATGAGGATTAAAAAAGAAGAAAAAAAAGAAAAAAATAGTATTAACATAAGTGAATTATAAAAACCAAATCTCTTCAAGAGTCATATTTATGAATTGAAAATTAGTGGGTCCATTTTCATTTGTCAAAGTAGAATGCTCTGATTTATGCAATTAAGAAATTAGAAATGATCAGTTTCTATTAGAGATATTGATTAGCTGCTATCTTTGTTACTAAGCTTAAGAAAAGTATTTCCCTTAAGTGATTAAATGAGACATGGTCTGATTTTTAACATTGTTAGAACTAAGTTCAGTTTGATTTTGCAACATTATTTGACCCTTTCTAAAAATTTTTATATAGTAAAATAAAGTTTAAATTTTAACTTCATGACATCTCATCAATTAATTAGATTCTTTACCTATCTCATAACAACATCTAAGTATCACAGAGGTAATTTTGTTGATAGATGCTTTGGAGGTGTAAGATACATACAAATTCTTATTTGAGATTAAAGATATCTTTAAGTTCTGAGGAATTTTTAAACCAACTGACAGGTTGTATTCCAAAGGTTACTTAGATCCACTAGAACAAAATCTGTTTCAGAAGTGTGAGTCAAGAGTGTGGAATGTACAATGATATGATATTATGTTCCTGGGAAAGTTAATAGGTATTACTCCAAGTTGAAGGAAAAGGATTTGTGATCAGATAAGTTTGGAATATGTAGAATATGTTGTTTTAAGCAAAGCTAAGCTCTACTGAAGATTTCTCAGAGCTATTATTATTGAAATATTTTTTTAAATTAGATTAATCTTATTTAAGGACTTTAAGTGTATGGTTGATCATTGATCTTATTTAGTTTTGTGTAATCTTTTCCTCCCTTCACAAAATAATATTCAAGTTCCATGTCAGATAGCACATTATTTTATTAATGGGAAGAAGGAAAATATATTTTCGTTCAAGGGACTTATACTGAAAAAGTCACCACACATGGGAAATTTTGTATATGAATTTAATTTTAGTTTTTTTTATTTCAATTTTAGCTTCTTGGATTTTTAGGAACTAATGGGGAAGTAAGGTAAAAAAAATGTGAAAGAAAGTGAGAGTAGGATAGGAGTAACTAATTCAACACACTAAACTAGATTAAAATTTTTGTTCGTCTTTTCTCTGATATGCTTGTAGGACTAAGCTTTTGCAAGATACATACTTCTAAAATAAGATAACTTGCTGCATTAAAGTCTTCTGGAATTGTTTCATTGTGGTGTTTGGGATGTTTTAGAATCTATTAGTGGAGAGAACTGTTTTGCTGTCATATCCTCTAATGGGAGTGATCTGCAGTTTTTAAATTATTGCTACTTGTTATTCTGGTCATAATTTGATACAGTTCATTCTTTCACAGTTTTTAAAAATTTGAGACTTAATCCCTTATTTCTACTCATTTGTCAACCCTGTCTACAGTAATGACTTCTAATTTCCTTTTATAATATAATCTCTAGTTTTGAAGTTTTGACTCAAGAGTTGTAATATATATCAGAGCATATACTGTTTAATTTTTCAAGTTTAACTTGTAACTATATATTCTACACAAATGTCTGTTTCAGATGGAGCAGCTATCAGATGAAGAAATCGACCATGGTGCTGAAGAAGACAGTGACAAAGAAGATCAAGATCTGGACAAAATGTTTGGTGCCTGGCTCGGGGAGTTAGACAAACTTACTCAGGTTAGAAATAGTGCTTGAAAAACTGGATGAGGCTTTTAAATCATCACCATCTGCTAAAAGTTACAATATAGTCATAAGGATGTGAAAGTAGGTTACATTTTCAGATACTTCTATAAAAGCAAAATGTCCAAAACATTAAAAAGTGAATAAATAGTAAGTACTATAGGGCAAGATACTGTCTTCTCTGATTATTTGAAGGAGTTTTAAAAAAAATACTTGTGACAGAGGTTCTGTTCATCTACAAGGATTACTTAAAATCTGTTTCATAAATTGAGATTGCTGGCTAAAAAGTTTTAAAGCCTAAAATTTTAAAGTCTAAATTTTAGCAAATCCTATTTTATAACTTAGTGAATTTGAATACATTTTACAACATAAATAATATCTTCACATGCAAATATTTCTATTACATGTTTCCAGAATACTGACAAAATTTCACTTTCAGATGCATTTTAAAACAGTGGAAAAGCCTTTTCATTTGGTTTTATTGTATCTTGGGTTTTTTGTTTTATTATTTTTTTAAAAGAATGGCCTAACTTATCCTCTAAACCAGGTCACTTTTAGAATAAAAGGGTACACTGTTACTACCCTAGTTGATACATTATATTCAATATATAAAGATGGTTATGTTTATTAAAACAACTTTATTGAGATAAATGAATAAAGAAGATAGCATTCTAATTTAATTCCACAATTCTGTCCAGCATTCTTTTTTATTTGAAATCTATTTGATAATTATAGGTGGAAACTAAAGTTTTAAACGACTAATCCCAAATGCTATATGTCTACTGACCCTTACCCTGAATTTCTCTATTGTAAACATCATATTTTCCTATTGTAGAAAGCTTAGAAAAAGTGTCACTTTAAAGGGTAGGGAGCCCTGGCCAGTTTGACTCAGTGGTTTGAGCGTCAGCCTGCTTACTGAAGGGCAAGGGTTTAATCCCGAGGCAAGGGCATGTGCCTGAATTGAGGGTTCCATCCCTAGCCCCAGTTGGGGTGGTGTGGGAGGCCACCAGTCAAGGTGTCTCTCTCACGTCAGTGTTTTTCTTTCCCTTCCACTCTATCTGAAAATCAATGGAAAAATATCCTTGAGTGAGGATTAACAAAAAATGAATACATAAAAGGTGGTGAGGTAACTTAAAAGATTCTACTCTACTCTGAAATGCAGTGTAATTCTAGATTTAGTACAAGCAACTTATCTGGGTTACAGTCTGCCCTTATAAAACTTGAAAAGAACAAGGATATTTTATTATTGTTTAAAGTTGTAGCCACTCTTGCCCTGGCCGGTTTGGCTCAGCGGTTAGAGCGTCGGCCTGCGGCCCAGAGAGACCCGGGTTCGGTTCCCGCTAAGGGCATGTACCTTGGTTGCAGTTTGTCCCCGGCCCTGGTTGGGTCGTGCGGGTGGCAACCACTCGATGTGTCCCTTCACATTGATGTTTCTTTCTCTCTCTCTCTCTCTCTCACTCCCCACTCTATCTGAATAAAAAATGAAAAAATGTCCTCAGGTGAGGATAAAAAAAAATAAAATAAAAAAATAAAGTTGTAGCCACTCTGTTAAGATCTTGAGTCGTACTAATTTCGAGTCCAGAATTGTGCCATATCTTCAGGGTCCCTCATGCCAAGAAGGACACTGTGCTGGATGAAAAACAAATTACTTTGAAGAAAGAGATAACAAAATTATCAGCATCTTTTCTTCCTATTTATCTTACCATACTCATATTCACATACCTAGTTTATTTTATAATGAATTTATGTAAAATGAACTTAGTTGCTATATTTAATATATTTGGAAAGATATTTACTCTGAACTATGACAATCTCAAGTGCCTTAGGTAAGATTATTATCTAAAAATTTAAAAAACTAACCAAAATAATATGAAAACTAATTACTTTTCCTTAAGGCTATTACCTAGAAAAACTTTGGTTTTATTACCTATTCTATAACAATTCACTTAATCATAAAGCTGTATCTTTTTGTATCATTGAAGTGTGAATATAATATGACTTATCAAGCTTTCTTTTTTAAAGAGTTTGGATTCTGACAAGCCCATGGAACCAGTAAAAAGATCCCCTCTTCGCCAGGAAACAAACATGGCCAATTTTTCTTATCGCTTCTCCATATACAACTTGAATGGTAAGATGTAATTGGAAATAAAATGTAAAACAATATACTAAGTTATATGATGTAGACGCAATGCAGCTACAGTTCCAAATAGCACAACATAAAAATGATATGCATAACTTGACTGAGTTCATATATTTCTTGGTTTGTGTATTTTATTACTAATTCAGATGATCACAGAAAAAAACTAAACTGGAACATAACTAAAATATTTTTCTAATTGAGTTATTAATAATTGACAAAGTACATACTCAGGTGGAACCCCACAACAAATAATAAAGTCCAGTGTAGTTAGTTGTTAGTGATTTTAAAATCGGCCCTTTTCGCCTTTATTTAATGCTCTCTACCTAGCCAGCTTTATAGTATTTGAAATTGATATTTCAGTCTGTAATATTTTAGGCTTTACATTTCTCTTTATGCCGTCAACACTTTAGGCAACATCTCTACCAGGGCACTGATCACGTTAACAACTGATGTCCTCTGGTAAAAAGTTGCATTGTGGATGTTAAAACTAGGTTCGGTGTATGATTTTTGCATTTTTAATTATTCTGTTCTCTGATTGCTATAAATCTTAAAAGATGGACTGTTTGCTTCAAAAAATTTCTCTTGGAGTATAAAACAAACAAAAAACTTTTAGAAATACCCTATTTTAGAGGCTTTAAGCCCAGTACAATGATTTATTGTTTGCTTCTTCCCTGGCATTTGTTAACTGGTTTATAATAGAATGTATACATTCTGATTGAGTCGTTCTGGAAACATCATGTATGTTGTTCATTGCAGAAGCTCTGAATCAGGGAGAAACTGTGGATCTGGATGCCCTGATGGCCGATCTTTGCTCGATAGAGCGGGAGCTCAGCAGTATCGGTGCTGGAAATAGTAAGCGTCAAATCACAGAACCAAAAGCCACTCAGAAATTACCTCCTAGCCGACATACATCAAAACATGGCACCTTGAAAGGATTGTCTTCTTCATCTAATAGGATAACTAAACCATCAAATGCCAACTACTCCCTGGACGATATTACTGCACAGTTAGAACAGGCCTCCTTGAGCATGGATGAGGCTGCTCAGCAATCTGTACTAGAAGATACGAAGCCGTTAGTAACTAATCAGCACAGAAGAACAGCGTCAGCAGGCACAGTGAGTGATGCTGAGGTACGCTCTATTAGTAATTCCTCTCGCTCCAGCATCACTTCTGCAGCTTCCAGCATGGACTCTTTGGATATTGATAAAGTAACACGCCCTCAAGAACTGGATTTGACACATCAGGGACAACCAGTTACTGAGGTAGGTAGATGGAATTTTTTTCCTGGTATTTTAGTATTAAAATAGGAAACAATGTTTTTTAAATAACTTTTTTTTTTTTTTCTACATTTAAAATTTATCGCCCGGCTGGTGTGGCTCAGTGGTTGAGCTTTTGACCTATGCACCAAGAGGTCTCTGGTTCAATCAATTGAACCAGTCACAGCATATGCCCGGTTGCAGGCTAGATCCCTGGTAGTGGGCGTGCAGGAGGAAGCCGATCTATGTCGATGCTTTACTCTATCATTGCTATTTCTCTCTCTCTCCCTCTCCCTTCCTAAAAAGTCAATTAAAAACAACAACATTAAAATTTATCAAGGATACCTCTGAGCCAAGTTTTTATTTTATTTTATTTTTTTAGAGAGAAAGGAAGGGAGAGAGAGATAGAAACATTGACATGAGAGAGAAGCATCGATTGGCTACCTCCTGCATGCCTCTTATTGGGGATCAAGCCTGCAACCCGGACATGTGCCCTGACCGGGAATTGAACCAGGACCTCTCAGTGCATGGACCAACGCTCAATCCACTGAGCCACACTGGTGGGCTGAGCTAAGTTTTTGTTTTTGTTTTTGTTTTTTTTATCCTCACCTGAGGACATTTTTTGTTCAGATAGAGTGGGAGGGAGAGAGAGGAAGAGAGGGAGAAAGAGAAACATTGATGTGAAAGGGACACATTGAGTGGCTGCCACCTGCACAACCCAACCAGAGCTGGGGTCAAACTGCAACCAAGGTACGTGCCCTTGGCAGGAACCAAACCTGGGTCTCTCTGGACCATGGGTCGATGCTGAGCTAAGTTTTAAAATTACTACGAAAGTAGTATATTACCAGCTATGCCAGTGTGACAGAGATGTGATTAAGAAGATATTTAGTTTCTTCATTTTTATCCTTCTATTTAAAGTCTTTGAATTAATGTTGTTTCACATTAATAAAAAATTTTAAATGTGGTTTATTTTGATATTTTGCAAAGTTAGTACGGCTAGTAAGCTGATAATAATTGATTAATATACTTATTATAAAATAACAACTTAAGAAATTTCTTAAGACTCATATCCTAGTTTTTAGGCTTTACTTCATCTTATTATCAAAGAGTTGCTATGGTATAGTGGAAAGAGCCACTAAGCTTGAATCAAAAAACTTGGTTCCAAGTGTTTCCTTTGACACTCACCACCCATAGGACCTAAATGAGTTTATTCAACATCTGTGAACATCAATTTCTCATAAGTAAGAGGGAGCTAATGGTATATGGTCTATCTTCCTCATATAGTTGTTCAGAAAGTCAAAAGGATATAATATACATGATAAAAAAAATTTTTTTCTTTATTGATTTTAGAGAGAGAGAGAGATAGAAACATCAATGAGAGAGAACATGGATTGGCTGCCTCTTAGATGCCTCCCACTGGGATTTGGCCCACAACCTGGGCATGTGTCCTGACTGGGAATCGAACTGGCAACCTCTTGTTACCTGGGTCTTGATGCTCAGCCACTGAGCTACACTGGCCTGGCCATAAACAGATTTTTAAAGATGAAGTTTTTCTAGATGTGATGAAATGAGGGTAAGAAATGGATTTGTGATCAGATAAGTTTAGAAAAATCTGACTTTAGCCTGGCCAGTGTGGCTCAGTGGTTGAACATTGACCCATGCACCAAGAGGTCAACAGTTTGATTCTCAGTCAGGGCACATGCCCAGGTTGTGGGCCAGATTCCCATTGAGGGGCATGCAGGAGGCAGCCAGTCGATATTCTTTCTCATCAATGTTTCTCTCCCTCCCTCTCCCTTTTCTCTCTCTAAAAATCAATTAAGAAAAAATAAATAAATCTGACTTTAGTGAAGGTGAATTCTTTATTGAGTTTTTTTCATCAAGAAGAAGGCAATTTTGTTATAGGGTACCAAAAATAAAATGAGCCTTCCATTCACTTTGTATTTACATTGCCCTCTAATATGAGGTAAAATAATCTATTCATGAATAACTAAAAGATGTATCTTGTAAAACATTGTTTAAAGAATTGCACAGAAATTTAAAATTTATACCTATTGACACTGTTGATCCCCCTCCCCTAATTGATTTAATTTATTAGACTACTTTTCATCACTCAGTAATTTCTGGTACCTGCCCATTTACCTAGTTTGTTCTAGGTAGTATGGAACACAAAGGAAGCATGAATCGTGGTGCTTTGGAGATAAATTTGAGTTTTATTGGTTCTAATGAAAGCAAATTATATCACTCTAAAGAATAGACTCTTATTTAAAATGAAACTTATCAAAGTGGTATATATTCTATAGAGAACTTTAAAACTGATTTCTACCTTATATCTGGGGATTACAGTTAGCACCAGATACTTAGTGTGCATCATTTGTGTCTTTTAGATTTACCTGTTGAGATAAGAGCAATATTTTATTAGGGATGTGCTTTCTTGGTATTTCTATGTTTTGTATGTTGATATTTCTTTCCAATCAGATTATTTTTGATTGGAAATGCATGGGAACTAGGTTAATCATTAAGAATGTGTGTGTGTGTGTGTGTGTGTGTGTGTGTGTGTGAGAGAGAGTGTGTGTGTGTTTCATCTGTAACATACCTTTGTTATAAAAGTTCAAACAATAAAAGAGCAAGTGAAGTGAAAAATCTTCTCCCAGCAAACACTTCAAGTGGTATCCAGTGATATCCATGGGCAAGGATATCAATGTTCAGTGGTTATTATATTTACATAAGGCTTTAAAATAAGGTTTGGTGAGTAAACCAGGAATAAAGCAAGGAAAAGAGTTAAGGTCTTCTCTATTCAGCCTGTTCTTTTGCCTTGCCCAAATGGGTAGAAAAGTGGTTTATTTGGAACTTGATTCAGTATACTTTTTTCTGCATCTACTTTGTTCTGATTCAAATCAAGAAAACTGAGGGAGGTTTACTAGGTCCCAAACCTATATATCAATTATCCCACATGCATCTATAATTTTTATTTATTTATTTATTTTAATCCTCACCTGAGGATATTTTTACATTTATCTTCAGACAGAGTGGGGGCGGGAGGGAGGGAGAGAGAGACAGAGAGAGAGAAACATCGATGTGATAGAGACATATCGACTGGTTGCCACCTGCACAACCCCAACTGGGGCCAGGGACTGACCCGCAACCGAGGTACATGCCCTTGGCTAGAATCAAACCCGGGACCTCTTGGTCCGCAGGCCAACGCTCTAACCACTGAGCCAAACTGGCCAGGGCGCATATATAATTTTTAAAACCAGTTTTGCATGCATGGAACTTCAGGAGTCAAATAGTTCTATAAGATGTTACAAAAAGCGCTGCTATCTACCTACACACAAACACCCCATATTCTGCTTTCAGAGGTAAGCACTTTTTTCCCTTTTAGCTGATTCTTAGGGTATTTACCCCCATATCATTAAATCTATACCTATATCACTATTTTTCTTGATTTTTTTTTTTCAGTTACATTTATTATCTACTGACTTACTACTCTGGAAGATAAAGAGCTAATGCTCTTTAGACAACTACCCCCACTTCACACCCTTTTGTTACTGCATTCTCCCGATATATTTTGGTTGAGTTACTGCTGTTCAATGTTTATATTATGTCTGTATACTTGCAATTTACAGCTAAACTCTGTATACTTTTATTTATTTAAACTTATCTTTATTGTTGAATGTATTACAGATGTTCCTCATTCTTTCCCCATTGACCCCCTCCTCCCCACTCCTACCCCCCTCCTGCCTTTTCCCACACACACTGTTGTCTGTGTCCATTGGTTATGCATATAAGTTCTTTGGTTTATTTCTTCCCACCCCCAAACCCCCTTTCCCTTTGAGGTTTGTCAGTCTAGCAACCCATTTCTACTTCTTAATCCCTTCACCTTTTTCACCCATTCCCCCAACCCCCTCCATCTAGCAGCTAACAAAATGTTCTCTGTATCTATGAGAATGTTTCTGTTCTACTTGTTCATTTTGTTTGTAGATTCAATTGTTGATAGATATGTATGCATTGTCATTTTGTTAGTTCATGTTTTTTATCTTTTTCTTCAAGAAGACCCTTCAACATTTCATATAATAATGGTTTGCAAGAAGACCCTTCAACATTTCATATAATAATGGTTTGGTGGTGATGAACTTCTTTCGCTTTTCCTTGTCTGGGAAACTATACGGACAGCTTTGCAGGATAGAGTAATCTTGGTTGTAGGTTCTTGCTTTTCATCACTCTGAATATTTCTTGCCACTCCCTTCTGGCCTGCAAAGTTTCTTTTGAGAAATCAGCTGACAGTCTAATGGGAACTCCCTTGTAGGTAACTAACTGCTTTTCTCTTGCTGCTTTTAAGATTCTCTCTGTCTTGAACCTTTTGCATTTTGACGATGATGTGTCTTGGTGTGGGCCTCTTGGGGTTCATCTTGTTTGGGACTCTCTGTGCTTCCTGGACTTGTATGTCTGTTTCCTTCACCAGGTTAGGGGAGTTTTCTGCCATTGTTGTTTCAAATAGATTTTCGATTTTTGTTCTCTCTCTTCTCCTTCTGGCACCTCCAAGATGCGAATGTTGGCGCACTGGAAGTTGTCCCAGAGGCTCCTTACACTGTCCTAATTTTTTTGGATTCTTTTTTCTTTTTGCTGTTCTGATTGAGTGTTTTTTACTTCCTTATATTCCAAATCGATAGTTTGCTTCTTGGCTTTACCTACTCCACTATTGAATCTGTGTAAATTATTCTTTATTTCAGTTAGTGCCTCCTTCATTTCTGACTGTGCATTCTTCATTTCTGACTGTTCTTTTTTATGCTCTTGAGGCCCTCACTAAGTTCACTGAGGTTCTCACTGAGTTCATTGAGCATCCTTATAAGCAGTGGTTTGAACTCAGCATCTGTTAGGTTGCTTATTTCCATTTCACTTAGTTCTTTTCCTGGGGTTTTGTTCTGTTCTTTCATTTGGGACCTGTGTCTTTGTCTCCTCATTTTGGCTGCCTCCCTGTGTTTGTTTCTGTATATTACCTAACGAGAGGT